TACCATGTCCTTATACTCACTGCCATCGGTTTTCGGCATATCAAATGCCCATTCTGTGAGAATATTGGCAAGTCTTTCATCAGATGTATTTTCGTTTAGCTGATGATTTCGCTGTTCACAAAATTCTGTGAATTGTTTCCAAACATACTTTTTGGAACGCACGGTATTTTGAGGCGTTAAGTCTTTGACTTCATTTCTTATTTCTTCTACACTATATTTACCGAAACGATTTCCACTGTCCATTTTCAAGCTATACACCACACCTAGTAACGATATTTATCAACATATAAACAGTTTTGTTTTCTTTGATTCCTTCACAACTGGCCACAGCCTTCTCAATTGAGTTTCCCGCAATCGTGATCCCGCATTCACTCTTCCTCTTCACTCGCGATCGAAGGTAATAGGGATGTTATGCAACTAACAATACATTAAAGCGTTGAATGGATAAAGCAGCGTACATCATAGGGAGTGAGAAGAGAGAGATGTAGAGATGTCACGTCAGTCGTGGTTGAAAAATTATTCCTATTTTAGGTTATATCATGCGAATCATGCTCAATCAATAATTATTTGGAATTGTCTTATAATAATTGTGAGGACAATTCAAATTGTGATAGTGCCTATCGGGTTTTGAATAGAAGTGTAGTGTTTTCATTCCATGAACACGAATATATTATGACAGCATTTATATCCTGCTGTCATGCTACAAAAACTCAAACAGTAAGTAGCCAATCAGGTGCCGAAATACAAAATCGATAACATAGTGTTTTCGATTATCAATACAGCTGTTACAACCAATCAAAAGCGTGAATTTTCAGATGAATGAAATAATCTATGAAATCCATATTTTTGATCCAAATGCAGATTCCGTAGGTCATACTTAATTCCAACAGTAAAACAACGTTGTTGATGCACGAATTGATCGGTAATATGGGTCATTCACGATCAATTTCATGTATATTGATAAAACTAGTTAATTTAAAGTCGACTATAGCTGAAATAGGTATTAAAGATCAGTTGAAAGTGACAGTTGTCAGTTGAAAGTGAAAATCATCAGTACTGAGTGACCATTATTGTCAGTTCAAAGTGATGATTGCCAGTTCAAAGTGATGATTGAGTCATCCAATGTGGCAATTGTTGGCCCTTCTATTACTTCGTTTGAAATTCCTATGACAAAAATATATTCTCAATCACAGTTCAAAAACGCATTGTAAAATCTTTGTTGAACCCACCAAGCTTGTTTGCTAGTGAAAATATATTTTCTGACGTAACTTGATTTACCGTCATCATTGCAGTGGTGCTCCATAGTTTCTCCTTCGTTTCATATTTCTATCTGATTTGGAAATATAGAGATAAATAGTTATTTATTATAGAAGAAGAAGAAGAAGTAGATTTCAGCTCCAGGTTGTGTTGTCAAAAAACCGTGAGCTAAAATTTAACATTTTTTCCGTGTATAATAGACAATTTTTTTCTGTGACAGAAGTAAGGATGAATCGATATTGCGAAGATATTACATAATTTTGAAATCTGAAACTTATCGATGTGAAATTTTAAGTTTTTTAACAGTAGGGACACCTGTGTTGTAGGCATCTTCATCATTCTTTTGAAGTAATCAAATATCTGATGTCACTTCTGTCAGTATAATTCTGTGATTTGATTTCAAAAAATTGCGAATTTAGGGGTTGTTCAGTAATATAAATGTAACCGCGAAGTCGAATGGAAGATAAGAGGACTTGCAGTTCTTTCTCGGAGACGGTATTATTGACTCACTTTTCGCAACTATAGCACAACAAAAGCCATCAACAGTGTATATACAGGGTGACATAGAAAAAGTACATTGCATGGTGCCACACAATAGAGGACACTAAAATAAGGAAAAAAGTTCCTGTGAACATGGGTACGCAAGGCCTTCGGTTAAAAAATACGGGGTGATGAATTTTAATGGAGAAATGAACCCTAATAACACACTTTTGTCCCATGAATATCCTCAGGACTTCCTGTCGGGACATTCAGGACGTCCATAGGACGTTCGAATTTGGTACCGTGGTCGTCCATTGGACGTCTGTGAGACGCATTAATGTCCCACTTGAGGACCAACTAGGGACGTTCTTGAGGGATGTCCCTGGGACAACTATCGTATACCTAAATCCTACAGTTTCTCCATCAAGCACTACAGAAGACATCCTTAGGACATCCATAGGACAACCTATCAGCAACGCTGAGGGATATCAATTGGATGTCCATAGGATGTTCTTGGGACGTACGAATCATTCTTGAATTTGAATTTTCCTGGGTCCCTTTAGGACGAGATCTTGCATAACTGATTAGGACATCCAGTTGAGTTGATGGTCCGTCGAAGGTCCTCAAAAAGTTCACCAAGGATGTCCAATGGACTTACCTGAAGGACATTGACGAGGAGTACTCATAGCCTACGAGCAATAATTCGTCGGCGAGGTGTAAGTTAACGTCCCCGCAGGGACAACATATTGAAAGTAGTGACTGGGACATCCATAGGACGTTATTTCTAGGACATTGGAAAAGTACAGTTCATGTTCCAATCGGGACATCCGACGTGAATTGTACCAAATAGGGACGTCCCTAGGACGTTGTGTCCTATTAGGGATATCGAAGTACAAGGGCAACAATTTGAATATCTTATAAAAATTCAATGTTTCGTTCTAATTAATCATATTTTTCATCATACCATCGAAATGTATTCGTTGAAGTATTTATCATTGTTTTTGCAAAAGTTACTTTGGCGCTTTTTGAATAATTTGCGTGCATTGTCGGCTTTTTCATGCATTTGTACTGAAACCATTGCTTCTAGCGACTTGGACAAGGTATACCTTTCTCAAGTATAAAAAAAGGAAGACAAAATTTTTACCGTCGAAAATGACATACAGAGTGTATAGCAAAAAAGTTACGACCGATTCAATAGGGATGGAACCCTGTCATCACAAAACTCAGATCATATCTGAATTTAGCATGATAAAAAACCCCTGTGTATCACACTGTATTTCTTGCGTTTCTGGCTGAAGATATTCGAAGGAAACATAAATAAAAATTTGAATACAACACCCCGTATCTTTTAACCGAAGGCCTTGCGGACCCATGTTCATAGGAAATTTTTTTCTTATTCTAGTATCCTCTATTGTGTGACACTATGCAATGTACTTTTCTCTATGTCACCCTGTATATGTGATATATGAATATCCGGGCAAAGAGAACTCATTTTTCCCCACGGAAAAAAAGTAATTTATGAAAAGTATGTCACCCTGTATATGTGATATATGTATATCCGGGCAAAAAGAACTCATTTTTTTCCCACGGAGAAAAGTAATTTATGAAAAGTGACATTTTATAACCTGCCAACTGGGATGAAATGCCATACTTTTTTGCCGTCACAGAAAAAATGTATTTTGGTTGATGTTTGTGTGCACACAAACTCGCCATCGACCTTACGAAAGTTCCTCCACTCCATGTGTGTTTTGTGTAGGCTTTCTTACTGACTAACTACGTCACCTTAGTAGTACAATATTGTTGATCAGAACCCACAGTGAATCGGTCAGAGCTACGAAAATAAGAATTCATAACTCGGTTGATGAATAAACAATTTCTGCTACACCAGGATTCGAACTAGTGATTTTCCGATGTTCTATTCACTGTGCTATTTCCATGATGAGTACAATTTGAAGATTTTGAGAATTTATCAGTCACCGACCCCACTGAATCTTTGCATTATGAAATATATACACTGCGTAATGGATTGATGTGACTCGAAAAAAAAAAAAGTTCGTAACTCTATCTGTATTCAAAATACATGCTGTCAAAAAAGAGCATCGATACTGATTATTTACGATTATGTCGAAACAACTGGCAACATTATTGTAATCAAATTTTTATATAGTTTCCACGGTTCGTATAGGGTAGTTTCAATAATAACTTCTTTGAGGTTAGATTGTTAGTTCAAAGTTTATGTGAACTTGAACATCATTCAGTTTTTAACCGAGAAGGTAGTCTTGAAAACAACTAAATCTAATCAGTACGAGCCCGTGTAATAACGCCCTCTATGAGATATATAAACAAATACATGTGATGTGTCAGATTTCAAAAAAATATTCATACAAAATTTCATCACAATGTGGCTAGTAGTTTCAACAAAATCGTTAATAATGTGTTATCAATGTTTCTAACACATTAATCTTGAATATGGAGCAACCCAAATTAGTGTGTTCTTCCTAGCTTAGCAACAGAGGGGTACTCTTCTCAAAACACTTTGTATACAGTTTTCTTTATATTGGTCGTTCGAAAAAATCCCATCAAACCCGGTATTGTTGAATTTGTAATAATGAACTCTACTTAAATATGGGATAATATGCTGGGTGTCCCTATATTCAAATAAGTAAGTTGAGGTGCACTTCAGTGTGACCCTGATGTATACCTACGATTTATTCAATAGCATATTTCGAGTGAGCATCATCAAATATACTCTGTCATTCGATCGTGAAGTTGATTTTTTACAGGGGGGGACATTTTAGCTGGGACACGGTGTATGTTACCCACGTGGGATTGAAAGATATAAATACATCGAAAAATATATCACAAGAATAAGTACTCATAAGCAAGTTGTCTTCATTTTTGAACAGTTTCGATTTCACCAGAAATAACACTGTTTCAAGGATTGAACGATATTGAAATTTTGTAGAACATTTTGGACATATTTCAAGATATTGATGGTAAAAATGCACATATTATTCCATATTAGTTTCACGAAAAGGATGATAATTCTCGTCCAAATAAAGAAAGACGGACGTTTCAGAGAACTCTGAATAAAGATAAGGATGAAAAAGACACATAAATCTGCTTTCCTCAGAAAAGAATCACCCCGTATTGTAATTAACCCACCAACATGTTTCTATCTGCCGAGACTAAATCCAAACCGGTACCTCAGTATAATACTTCAATACGTATTAATTATTAAAATATAGTGGAGTGGTACTTACAATAGCTTTAATCATTTCGATAAACAGTCTTATCAACACGGTGTAAACTATACATACCAAGTGAAATTATATTCAACATGAACGATTGATGTGAATGTGTGGGACCCCCCACTTATGAAACGTAGCAATACGAACTCTGTGCGCGTTATTTCTATCATTCGTATGGAAGCAACTTACCTTGGTTGTCGGTTAGATAGGTCGGTACTGAACCTAGACCTCTATGATAATGAACTACCGAATCTAACGATACTTAATCAATAATAGTTATACTAAAAAGGATCCGTAGGTAATAAGGTCGATGTATGTTGGTATAGGTACACATCAGTTTAAGGAATACCCATTCCTTAAACTGTGGTAGGTAAGTACTTATTGGGTACTGTACTTTTACCTCACTAACGGTAGGAACACAACAGAGTATCTCTTCAGTAAATAATCTTCTTGAATGTCTCGAAGAAACAATTTCTAGAAGAAATTTGATCATTTTATGCCAAATATAGGTATTTATCAATGATAGTTGGATACACACCAAGGTAGGAGATGGTGTGCTCAACAGAAAGCTCAAACTCGTCTTGTTCTGCGCATGACGTCAGGTGGGATATAACTGTCATTGTTATTATTTGTTTTCGTGAACTTCAGATATTATATAAGTACTATAATAGAATGATATAATTTCGAAATGCCTACTTGTCTCATTTCTGGTTATGGAAATTGCAACTAACATACAAAAGGCACAGATATTGAATTTTTCTGCTTTCCCAAAACCTAATGAAACGATGGGAGCTTGCTGCCGACAGAATATAAACACAAATAATGGTACCTATCTTATATTCCTCATTTCCTCATTCCAAAGTATTCACCTATCATATTATCATCACATTCATATTCCATTACAAGATGAAACAAGATGCCATTCCTACAGAACATCTTCCGAATATAAAATCAGAAATAATTGAAAATGAATTCAAAACTCTCATTTTCTCACAAAATATAAATTGCAGCAATGATTTGAATAACAAAACGACAAAAATTGATACTCCTGTTGTCGATGTCGGAGCAGAAGCAACGTCAACGTCGTTAACTGCTGAATTTTAATCTGTCAGAATCGACACACAGTAGTGGATCATTCAGATGGGATTGGCAATGCATGATAATTCGTATGTATTTGCTATTTGCGATTGCGAATTATCTCAAGCAGATTACAATTTCCATAATCAATGAAATAGTAAAATCGAAGGAATAGGTACCTGTTTATATAAATTGAATTATTTCCAAACAGATCGAAAAACTTATAGAAATTTCAATTAACATGATTGAATCCATTGCGCACGCCCATGGCAACGGTATCTGTCTGTGACTAGCAGCTGATATTGGTATTCGCGAAAATCACGAACCAATAGATGGCTCTATTAAACGTCAAATCAACGTCAAATTTCCAACTGAGTATGAACAACAAAAACATTGCCGTATGCACTCATCGCAAATTGGTTATTTCCAAATCATTTTGCAAAATAGTGAATAATAAGTTGACTTCTTGAAATACGTACAAGGTTTCCAGTATGGGAAAAATTACTTTTTTGTGCAGAGAAATTGCCATTTTGATGTGGACAATGGTGGTTTCCATCATTGATATCACACTACAATCCCACAGTTTTCAAACATAATGGAATGGTCTGAATGGTCTACTCAACACTTGCATGGACTGGAATGAAACCATTTCTAGTGAAGGGGTTGGGAAAGAAGATTTGGTTGGAGAGGCTGCTCAGAATGAACAATATCATCGATTTAAATAAACAAGGATCTCCAGCAATTGAGGACTTGAAGTTATTCTCAAGATCGAATCATTGCAACCAACATTTATACAATGATTCTAATTGTGCTTCAGAAAATGTATATTTTATTATTATAAGGTAGGTACTGGTTTCTTCATCGTGAACAATAAAAGTTCATGCAATAATTCGAGTTTTTTCATCAGGGAGAAATGAGGTTCTGGAATATGCCCTTCAACAAATACATTATTTTCCAATAAAACACATATTTATGAAATTCAAAACAATGGTCGCCATATTTGTTGTTCATACGCGCAAGACTTGTACAGTTAGCCACCAGAGGCCGCACACTTCGTGATTTTCGCGAATAGATGACGTCACATTTCTCCTACCACTATGGTAGGAAGAGATTCATTCTTGTCGTGAGATTAGTTAGTTAAGAAGACGTGTGTAATATGACACTTCCCAACCTTCAATGACGTTAGTACTGACGACATGGACGACATAATATGGTTGTAAATGAAATGTATTCCTTTGCGCTATCAATTTTAATTCACATTGGCGAATTGTTGTTTCATTCGTTAAGCATTTCTTGATATCGATGTTTATCAACATTTATATGGAATAAATGATGACATGTATCGAGCATTAGAAATAGAAGGTTACGATATTATTTGGAATATAAATCTCATAGGTATGTACAGGGTATCCCACATAACTTGGGCCACCCCCTTATCTGGTAAACTATTAGATATACCGAAAAAAGTTCAGAATAAAAATTTCATAACTTCTCATGACATTTAATTTTCAGATACTGTCATTCATACGGGATGATCCATATGTCTGTGACATATCACAAATACTTTTTTTCAAATGGAACACCCTATATTTTATCATATTTTTAGATAGTACTTCAGAAGACGAGTTCAATGATATATAATAACATGGGTCTGAGATCACACGTTTCGGATTTATACACGATCTTCTTCCATAAATTGTCCAATTTCAAAGCCTATAGAAACGTTGTGAATGGAATTTTCGATTCGCAACTTCTGCTATGAAATAATAAAGCCTGTATATTATTTTGTTCTATGGTGAAAATTTAGGAATTTTGAATTTGCCAAAAGTGATGACGTATTTTGAAGACCAATAATTATCTCGAGATTTTCAAACGGAACACCCTATATTTTATTTCATATTTGCATAGAACTCAGAAATACGAGTTCAATGATCTATGATAACATGGGTCTGAGACCACCCGTTTCGGACTTATACACGATCTTCTTTAATCAATAGTCAAACAAAAAAACTAACATTAACTGAGAAAACGAGTAAACATAACAACAGTAACAATTAGATATAGTATTCAATTGAATATTCAAAGTAGTCAAATCAAATTTTCTATATACCGTCCATTTTCAGCTATGCACGTAGTATATCTTTTCGCGATATGTCTCAGTGTATTTGCTACTGCATGTGATTCATTCAAATTCACGTTGGCATGTCATTCCACTTTGAGTTTTGGTTTTCTCTTCGATCATTTACTTATGTCCAGTGTTTATTCATTGAGAATTCAATGAAAAATATTGAACAGTATGAAAGATATACGATTTTTATGAGGAAATGACATTTATTGCAATGAATGCATCCAAATTGATAAGGCAGACAATCAAAAAAAATGTTCAAATACATTTTATTAATTGAATATTCCCGCATTGGTCTCGTATAGAGTCAAATGTAGGTGAAATTTGACTGTGATAACCTGTGCTCAATAATTTCCAAAAGGTTTTTCAGTGAAATAATAGTATAACATTACATAAAAATTTCGCTAACATTCGTTGTTTTCAAAACTCTTTATTACGAATTGTTCCACAGAAATTACAAAATTTTTATCTAATATGAAGATAACAGTCAGAATTTTGCCATTGAAATTTGATTATTTTTTCAAGAAGATCGTGTATAAGTCCGAAACGGGTGATTTCAGACCCATATTATAATATATCATTGAACTCGTCATTCTGAGCATCATCCAAAGATGGAACGAAATAGGGTGGTGTTCAATTCGAAAATTTGTAAAAAATTATCGTTTTTCAAAATACATCACTTTTGGCCAATGCGAAAACTTCATTCACAACGTTTCTATAGGGCTTTGAAATTGGGCAATTTATTGAAGAAGATCGTGTATAAGTCCGAAACGGGTGATATCAGACACATGTTATGATAAATCATTGAACTCGTCTTCCTGAGCTCTATGCAAATTTGAAATGGAATATAGGGTGTTCCATTTGAAAATCTCGAGATATTTATTGGTTTTCAAAATACGTCATCACTTTTGGCAAATTGAAAATTCCTAAATTTTCACCATAGAACAAAATGATATACAGATTTTGTTAATTTATAGCAGAAGTTGCGAATCGAAAACTTCATTCACAACGTTTCTATAGGGCTTTGAAATTGGACAATTTATTGAAGAAGATCGTGTATAAATCCGAAACGGGTGATCTCAGACCCATGTTATTATACATCATTGAACTCGTCTTCTGAAGTACTATCTGAAAATATGATAAAATATAGGGTGTTCTATTTGAAAAAACGTATTTGTGATATGTCACAGACATATGGATCATCCTGTATAAATGACAGTATCTAAAAATTAAATTCTATGAGAAGTTATACAATTTTGTTACTGAACTTTTTTCTGTATATATAATAGTTTACCAGATAAGGGAGTGGCCCAAGTTATGTGGGATACCCTGTACAGAGGGTGGCCAACTAAGACTCCAGAGTTCGATTTCTCTGTTGTCTTGAGAGATACAAAAAAAAGTCATGTATCAAAATTGAAGTAATGACCGAGCTTCACATTTCAAAATTTCTTTGAAATACACAGGGTGTTCCGTAACGTCACAGCACATCAAAGCTATGTTTTTTTCATTGGAACACCCTACATTTTATTTCATTTTTGAATTCTCCCTGAAGATCTGATTTCAAAGACCCATCATACTTAGGGTCTAGCAGTGGAAGTTACTGACATATAGGGTGTGCAAAATCGAGATTTTCCCAGTTCAGGATTTTTTTCTGTCGAAACTGTTCATTATTCGTCAAAACGATTTACATGTCCCTATCTCAACTTTTCACTCACTATCAATTGGTGTTCAATTGAAATTGATACAAGGTGGTCGAAAAATCTAAATTTATAATTTGTTCCAATTAAATGTCAATTGAACACCAATTGATAGTGAGTGAAAAGTTGAGATAGGGACATACATGTTAACCGTTTTGACGAATAATGAACAGTTTCGACAGAAAAAAATCCTGAACTTGGAAAATCTCGATTTTGCACACCCTATATGTCAGTAACTTTCACTGCTAGACCCTAAGTATGATACGTCGTTGGAATCAGATCTTCAGGGAGAATTCAAAAA